ACCATACCATGGTACTATAAGCCAACACCTGTACCCTTTCCAGTGGAGCTTAGGGATGAGGTATGGGATTGAAACAACTGGCTCCAGGAGTTAGGAGTTGGAGGAATAGTGTTATGTTGATTATCCACATCTTTCCAAAATCAGTTGTAGTCACTGATGGGGGGGGAGGAGAGAAATCTGTTTAATGGCCTCTCTTGTATAGGTTGCCTCAGGGCTCAATTCTCTCTCCATTCTTGTTTAACATCTACATCAGGGGTGTCCAACCTTGGCAACTTTAAGACTTGTGGACTTCAACTCCCAGAATCCCTGAGCTAACATGACTGGAGGAGGAATTCTGGGAGTTGATATCCACAAGTCTTAAAGCTGTCAAGTTTGAAGGCCCCTGCTTTGGAGCTTCTGTCTCAATGCCTGGAGGCTATGAGGCAATGAATGGGGAAGAACAGGCCCTAACAAGATGGAGCCGCATTTGGTTTTATGCTTCCTGGATCTGGTGATTTTTCATTTTTAGTGATTTTTCATTTTAGATGGGGTTGTGCTGCTACAGATAGAACTATGCCTGCAATTTGGTTGTTCTCTTGGAATCCTAGCTCCTGTACAACAAGCAGGTGGCAGTCATGACCAGGGATGGGGAGCAGTTGCAGTTTTGGGTTGTACCTCAATTGTGGATCAAGAGGTACTGCACAGTCACTCATGTTTTGATTACCTCCCAAGTGGATTACTGCAATATACTTTACCTCACAGGCGTCAAACTCGACTGCATCATGTGAGATCACAACATATCGTGACTTTTTTGCCTTTGCGGAGCTGGGGTGGGTGTGGCCTGGGTGTGACACATCCAGCCTTTTGGCTGCCAGTTTGACACCCCTGCCTGCACGGAGCTGCCCTTGGAAGAACATTCAGAGATTTCAGTTGGTCCAAAATGCAATGGCCTGGTCAATTATGGGTGTGCCTTATTCTCACTGTTTCTATTCATCCCATTAGGTTGGGCAGAAGTAGCATGCCCTGGACCCTGTTGATCAAAGACTGTCATCTAAGAGGATCCAGGAAATGTGCATTCTCTATGACTAAACCTGCCCTCTAAACACCAAATAACTGAGGTTACATTGGGCCTCAGTCTGCTCACCTTTCCGAAAGCTCTGAAGACTAGGTTATTTTCCCAGGCATGGACATTGGGAGAGTTACTGAACCCACACTCTTAGTGTATGGACTAGCTACTTTGTGTTTCAGTTTCAGTTCAGTGAAATTTATTTTCTGTACTGTAATTATATTGTATCTTTTAGTCTTTGTCAGCATCCCCGAATCACTTCAGTGGGGCAGGCGGTCGCAGAAATCGATTAAAATAAATATATCAGAAAGCTGCGGGATAGCTTTTTCAACCTGTGTTTCACCCCAAAACGTTTTGGGCTCCGCTGTTCTCGTGCCAGACGGTAAGGCATTCGCCTACCGCGGTCCAAAGACTCCAGTAAGCAACACAGAGCACCATGTCCACTCTTAAAAGGCGCCCGAAGTCTTCGAAAAGGAAGAGGAAGCGGAGGCTTTCAGCCCCAGAGGTTGCTACCGTTTTTAGACGGGTTGAAATGAAACCTAGCAGGCATTTCCGAATTTCAGAAGGTTCTGCAAGGAAAGGAAACCAAAGAGACTGCGGGGAGAAAAGATCGAATACTCACCGCTCCGAGGTGGGCCAGGCACTCAGTCACAGGACCCACCACAAGTACGATGGGAAGTGTAGTGCAAATCTCCTAGTGGCCTCCCCCTGCGCCTTGCACGTTGGGATTTGTAGTGCGGGCCCGGCGGCAAAAGCGTTTGCAATCCCGGCCGTGGAGCAGAGATATTATAGATAGACTAACACGGTCGGAGAGGACATTTCCGCGCTCGCTGCAAACGTCTTTGCTCCGGCGGATTTATTAAAGCCCGCGGAGAAATACGAGCTCTTTCGAAAGCCTATGGTGGGCAAGCGGCACCTCTCTTTTCAAAGCAGTTTTGCCAGCAGATTTCCCCCCTTTTTCATGCTGATTTTATTTCATGTGAAAAGTGTGATTTGCGGTACTGCTGTTACTGCTGCTGCTTTTAAGAATTGTCCTACAAATACCAATTTATTTATCTCTGATTGAGGGCTGTTTTGTTGGAGACATTAATTTACGTGCAATATAGTCCATTATTACGAATTAAAAGAAGTAACAAATGTTCTTTGATAAACGCTCCCATTGATAAAACACTCTCGGGTAGCCACAATGATCAAGCGACTTTCCTCTTAAATTCACGTCCCAATTTAGATGCATTTAATTCATATCCTGGCTTTCTTCTAGGAGCAAAACGTGAGAGGAATCCCCAATGTATCCTCACGGCAACCTCATAGTGTAGCTTGGATTAAGGGAAAGCAGCTCTCTTAAGGCTAACCCACTGAGCTTTATGGTCAAATGGTGACCTGCATCTGGGTGCTATTGTCCCAGTCCGATATCTCAAGGTTAAAAGCACGCGCGTTCTTTCCAAGTTTTACTCCCACGAAACAACACGAGCATCCGCGTTTTTGCTGCATTAAAATTTCTGCAATGATTCTTATTAATACCTCACTTTCGGGTGGGGGGGGGGGGGGGGGGCAAAGGAAAACGTCAATGAACGCAGAAGTTAGAAGCATTGGTCTCTCTACATGATATTTATGGTTCTGCAAGGCCTTTCTAAAGCAAGCGGGAAGGCAGAGCATGCCGGGGGTTGTAGTCTTTCCGCGCAAGGCTGAGGACTCGGGAAGGAGGAGCGTCTAGAAAGCGGGCAATTAGGAGCAGCTGTCTCCTAGCAACTGAATCCTCGTTATGTCAGCCAAATCTGCCTTAGGTTGAAACATTTTCCCTCAACTGCATCAGGTTATAATCTTCTACCACTTATGAGAAGTAAATTAAACGCGCCCTAACTGATTGCTAAAAAGGTGATGATCGCTTACCGTTAAGATATGTGATCGGGCAGTATTGCAATTTAATTTAAAAATGCAAATATTGGCCAGCTATCAAACCTGGCATACTGTGTATGACACACATACATAACAGACTGGGATGGAGAGTGAAAGCCAAGGCAGTTTAAAACAACCCTCTTGAAATAAGTTGATGCCTCAAGCTGGAAAATAAACTGCTGAAGGTAGGGATTTTAACATGGAGTTTCTCTTGCTCATTTAATGGAATAGCAAACCTCCATTAAGCCAACCAACCAATCTTTTCTAGTTAGAGAAAAGTTCCTGGAGGAATCTCATTCTTCACTTGCAAAGAAGTATTTCAAGGTGAAGTTTGTTTTTCATACAAACGTACCTTTGCAGTATTTTATTGGCTGGGAGCACAGAGAAACCCTGATTATTTTTTTGCCTGAGTAGGTGCACAATATTTCTCATTGCTGCAACTTTACCTGGAAGAATCCTAAGAGTACCCACTGAAGAAAAACTAATTTATTTATTAACGATATGTTTATGGCAAGTTGATAAAGTATTTTGTTTGTTTATATTTACTATTTCTTAACCACCCATCTTTCTGAGATGTTCTCTGGTTATAAAAACAAACAGTTACACTATAATTGTTAAACAGAGCAGACTGCAACTAATTAGAAATTTAAATTTGTAAGACTTTGAGGAATACAAGGGTTGTAGCTTGAATCTGCAAATACTAGGTAGTGTAAGTCATTTAAAATTTTATAATTGCTTAGTGTCACTTTATTGTGATTGTAAATGTGTCATTGATGTTATGTAATCTAACTTCTAGTTAATTTTTATTTATTTTTTATTGTGTCTAAGCCTGTTGTAGGTATTTGTGTAAAGGTGAAGTTGGTTGAATAAATCTTTGTAGGTATTTTTGGAACAGCTTCCTCTGTAAAATGCCCTCTTCCTGGCAAGCACTCATCTACTTTCATTTTTTAGGGGCACTTGAAGAAGGCCTCCAAGTGCAAGATTTAGATATGGGCAAGATGGCCTTCCAGGTAAATGAACCCTGAAGTAGATAAACAAGGTTTGAATGGTGTTTGTACCAGGTATGGAACTATAAACTAGCTAAATGCCCTTTAACCTAACATAGAAAATCAGCCCGTGTAATTAGTTTATGGTTTAGGATGTTATGCAAATCCATTCAGTAAGCCATGACTAAGTTAACAAGAGTCATAGGTCATACAGATTCAACCTTTGAGTTTGAATTCCAGAATGCACTGTTTTAGAAAATCAGCGAAGCAAATAAGTTCAAGCAAAGCTACTTGGAAAAGGAAGGGTAGGTGCACTGGACTAATATAATAGACTTGAGCTGTGTTTGTCCATGTTCTGACCCACAAATTGGCCAACTATATTTTAGCCCAGTGTGTATTGGGGCGAATTCAGTCTATGTGGTTAGTTCAGTGTGTTGTGCAAACCTAAAAAAGTGAATTAATTGATAAACTATGATGTGCGAGCATAGCTAGGCCATCTGTTCAATTTTTGGTCATGGAAGAATTTTATATGTAAACGTTCAACTATTCTGTCCTCAACATACTTAGTTGTGCTGTCTTGCATTGGGATAAGGCTGTATCCCTTCTTCTAATGTTATAGAGGATCATGACTACTCTCTGGGCCACATCCTGTTGGTTGATAAGGATGTCTCACCTCTCCACAAACTGTGACCTAACCAGCTGTGAGCTCCCTCCTCCCTTCCTCTTGCGCTGCCCTTTAAAGTAGGCAATCTGCCTTAATCCTCAACCCAGTAAGGGAAAGGAGGGAGAATGACGGAGAGAGAGCAAATGAGCACGAAGCAGACACAAGGGGGAAATCTGGTTACTTTCTGAAAAGCCCCTATACTGAAAGCAAGAGATGCATCTGGGGACTGGTACTCCCTTTTCATGAGGCCATTAGCTTTTAACTTGGCCCTCCCTCCCCATCTGGGGAGAAATACTAAAATAATGGAGATCCCTCCTTGCACTGTGGAGAGATAATCAGTCTGAACTGTTAGAATTCTTTTGGAAATTTACACATCTTCTCCTTCCCCTTTACACAACCAACTTGCAAGATGTCTAAGTCGGAGTGCAACGGAGGACGTGAGTAACCCCACGTTGATATATATGGTTATAGGAGTAAGAGTATGGACAGATGGAGATTTTATAGGGCAGCCTACGCATATCAAATTAGAAGCATGTATTGGACTGTATCCTCTGGGGCTTGTTCCAAGTATTAGTAGAACCGATTAGTAGTGGGTGTCCAAATAGGACTCAATAAAGGATGGGCAGCTTGCAGTCCTACTGTTAGAAGATTGGACAGAACTTTGCTGTTACAATGGCTGTTTGAAATAAAGTCCTGTCACTCTAGAAAATAAGTTAAAGTAAGGCATTTATGATATAGTTTAAAATTGGAACAGTACCGGAATTACAGAAGTGTATAGATTTGATAGTAAAATCAATAGGAGATATACACTGGGATAGAAATGCAAGAGAAACTTATAAATAGATTGACCTCATAGAGGCCTTCAGCTTGGATTAGTTTTCCAAGCTGAAGCATGCTGTATTGTATTTTACATTAACCACTTCTCTTTTGGCAGATTTTTTTTTTAAAAGAGGAGATTGTTATTTTGCCCCTTCACTCACACTCACACGCAAATTTTAAACAAGAGGATGGGGTCCTAATTAATTCCTTCTGTCTCTTGTCGCCATACTCTTCCTTTGCAGCATTGGGCTCTCCAGAGGCACCACCCCGATCAGCAGCCGAGGCTTTTGTGGAAGCATCAGGCCAGGCCATAGCATGGACGCTTACGAGTGGAGGTTCAGATACTTTGGGCTCTACTGGCAGCCTTGCTCAGAAGAAGCGTCAGCAGCAGAACAAGCATAAGACCCAGGGCTCCAATGTGGTGCACCGTTCACCACGAGCCCTCTTCTGTCTACGTTTGAACAATCCCATCCGCAGAGCTGCTATCAGCATTGTAGAGTGGAAGTATCCTAAACGTGCAAATTAGGAAAAGGAAGGGAGGAGGGTGGGAGGAAAAAATTCCTGTTTGATACCTTAACTTGAATGTCTTCCAGACCTTTTGACATCCTCATCCTTATGACAATCTTTGCTAATTGTGTGGCCTTAGGAGTCTATATTCCCTTTCCAGAAGATGATTCCAATGTCTCCAACCACAACTTGGTGAGTGCCTTTCCTCACGTTATGGGTGGAAACAAAGTAGATGCATGAGCAGTGAGAAGTCTGTGTGAACTTCATTAATGAAACATGGACTTTGCATATCAGACTGAAGATCTGAGTTCCTTTACAACGGTTTAAAGTGTAAAATTGAAATGTGCCTCTGGAAGGCCTCTGGAGCCTGAGAAATTGCTGCTAAACAGACAGTACTGTGTTAGAGGGTTCAATAGGCACCAAAAGACAGATTCCTGCAAATTTAGGAAACCTGACTTTGACTTCTGCTTCCTGGTTCTAATGCTACTGCGTTACTATACTTTTTTCCCAAAAATCCGGCATAACAGCCTCTTCCCTCCTTTCTTAATGGTTCCATCTTTACCTCTTGATTTCTGCCCAAGGCAATACCTTAATGCTAATTAAAACTATTATCTCCTAATAGGCATTAATCTACCCATGTGACTCATGGCAGCTGAGGTGACGATTTCCCCCTCTCCACTGCCAAATCAGATCAAATCAAATCAAAATTTTAATTATGGTCATAGATTAGCATAAAAATACAATTTTTAAAACGAACATATGGTTTTAGATACGCAAGTATCTACAAAACAATTTTTGTATGTAAAGTTTTTATCCCTTTTATAGATTTTTAAAGACTTATTTTAGATTTTATTTTTATAATGTCATTTTAAAAATGTTTTTAACCTTGTGCATATCATATTTTTATTTTTTTTAAATTATATTTTTATGCTGGTCTTTTTTATGAGTGTAATAAATATTTTTATTTGATTTGACCCCACTGCACATACCACCTTGTTTCTAGTCACTATAACCAAAAGCTCTCAAATACAGCTGTTCATCTGCTAATTGCAGCTGGGGTCAAGACTAGAGTTGGAGCTCAACTTCCTTGGAATAAATCCCAAATAATCCATTGACAGAAATTCAAAAATACCTGTAAGGTCAGACATCATCCAATTTCCTAGTCTGTTTTGTTGTGTATGTGTGTGTGTGAGAGACTTAAGCATGGAAAGTTGTGCAATTGAAATTACATTTGGTGAAAGGAGAAGTATTTCATAAATTCTGAGGTCGAGGCAGAGTTGTTTTAACCATTTAGTTGGTACTAAATGAAAAGTGAACATTAGCTGGTACAGAAGACTGTGCTGAGACTATATTCTTTTTCCAGCACTTGGAAGAACTAGGATGGAAAAAGAATATGGAAAGAATGGGCGGTGTTCTGTGCTGCAGACCTATGCTTCTTTTTTGCTGTGTGTTATGCTTCCCTCATTTTGGATGGTAGGATCTGGGCAATTTTTGTGTGACAGATATCCGGGATGCTGCGCTTCTGTCATTTGTATCTTCAGTATATCCCTCTCTTCTTTCCTAGCAAGTTCTGTAGAACACTCGTGGTGGTGTTGAACTGAAATATTCCAGAGAAATCCTCGTCATTTTCCCCTGTCTGGAATTTTCAATCCTTTTTAGTGTGGGTTTCCTGGAATCTACAGTTTGGATCTTATAAATTGATTTCTTAGGGACGGCTCTGATTTTGGACTATTTGTCAACACACTTGGTTTCAAACTACAGAATGCAAGTATAACTTGGTGCTATTCCTCTCAAATCTACAGGAGCAAGTGGAATATATTTTTCTCATCATCTTCACAGTGGAAACTTTCCTCAAGATCCTTGCCTATGGTCTGGTCATGCATCCTAGCGCCTATATTCGCAATGGCTGGAATCTTCTTGATTTTGTCATTGTTGTAGTGGGGTAAGTTTTTAAAAACAATATTTATTTTAGCTGAATATATGAGTTTAACTCACAGTGGTCTGATTCGTCAATATAATTTCCAAGTGAAACATCTGTTAATAAAAAAGAAAGAAAAATCTACGGATACATTGAAAAAACCTAGCTTTAGCTTAAGTGGAAAGACATACAGAAGGCAGTGCAAGTCCTGAGCGACTTCTTGTGACTTAAAGAGTTGCAGAGGAAAATTTGTTTGTTATCAGAGTATTATAATTGGAAAAATGCAGCTAACATAATTTTTCCTCCTTACATTTTTAGAGTAAGTCATTCCATTATTTCATAAGAGGCAATAGAGCTGTCTGGATTTTTCTTCTGGTGAAGGCCACAGAGTGGCTTTAATTTAAATAGTATAATGGCTTTAATTTAAAAAGAAGACGTCTCTATCACCTTGTATTACTTGTAATACTGAAATTAGATTTATGCATGAGCATAAATCCTAACACTACATATACACCATATTCCTTGCTTCTTGAAACTGAGGTGACACGTGTGTATATTTTGCATACATCTTGTTTAACAGACTCTGAAGCAGATTGTCTCTTGAAGTGTATTAAAACATGGGCATACACCAGGAGAAGCAAATCATTGGGAACTAATATAAAAAGGGGCATTTAGGATTGTCATTTTGGCATTAGGTTTATAAAAAAATTTAAAGGGTGGGAGAAAGTAGAACTGGAAAAATTTATAGTATAGCTTCACTGTGAAATTCTTCACTGGAGGCAGGGTCCCACATCATGACTGGCTGTAAGTTGGGGGCAAATACCAGTCCAGTATCTGATTTTTTTTTCATGTAAACAGTGCTGCACTTCAATGGTTAGATGGCCCTAGACATTAGAATCTGAATATGGATCTTTTTAACAATCATACTCTATTGTGTTTTTTATAATCTAGGCAACATGTTTATATTGCAAGTCCATGTATGATATACCATACGCTAAATAAATTAATACAGTAGCTTGTCAAACATTTCTAACACTCAATTGTTTAGATGATAGAATCATTTAAAAATGAATTGATTCTGACAGAAATACACCAACACCTACTCTTAACCTAATTTTCCCCTACTTGAAATGTCTCTAAAATGTGGCCTTAGCTCCCAAAATTATTTAGTGAGCAAAACCATTGGTAGGAATCCTGGAGTTTAAAGTTAACAGATCTTGAGTTACCTAGGTGGAAGTTTGTATAAGGTATCCTAGTGATTTCAGAATGCTGGTGAAAGGAAACTTGGTCCATCATCCTGAAATCAATCTTCCCTGCCTTGTCTTGTCCTTTGTTTTCCCTGTAGTCTCTTCAGCGTCATTCTGGAACAAGTCTCCCACAAGCCTGGGGAGGCCCATCACATGAGTGGGAAGCCAGGCGGCTTTGACGTCAAAGCCCTGCGAGCTTTTCGTGTCCTGCGACCTCTGCGTCTGGTCTCTGGCGTCCCTAGTAAGCATCTCCTGTACTCATACTTCTCAGACATAGGCCTGTGAGGGAAAGGCTGAATAGAAAAAAAAGTCTCTTAGTATGCATTTATATGTTGTGATGCCAAACTCTGCTGACATGCTGACTGTCTCTTATATGACTACACATTATGAACATAATTATATATGAAGTTTAATTAGGTGATATGGAAACAATTGAATTCCATGTTTTCTACAAATCTATATTGTGCTAGGGCAGTATTTCCCAACTTTAACATGGGTGGATTTTAACGGGGGAATTTGTGGCAACTTT